TTACTGCATGTCCACATTTACATGCATAGGAGAGAGCAGAATCTGTGATCAGAGAGCCACTTTCTCTGATTTGGGAACAGGAATGTTGCCTGAGCATTCAAAAGTTGTTGATGCCCTGCTTGCTCTGTGCTGATGCTGTGGCTCTCCTAAAGAAGGGCAGCAGCTCCCTCTGATGGTCCGAGCCTGCAGGGCTCTGCATCTCCTCTTGGGTTTCTGTTCTGCTCAGATCAGGAGAACATTCTGCTTGGTGGAGAGCTCCCTCTGCAACTTCATCTGGATGCACGGGGTTCTCTCTCCCAGCCAGCTCACAGCTTGTAGATGTGGGAGTGCAGCCCTTGCCATTCATCCCACAGAAAGAACAACAACTTACTCTCGCTGCTAATTTCCAGAGGTTTCTTAGGAATGACAGAAGATACTCACACGTCTGCTGAAAGAGAAGCAGTATTCTTGGGATGTAGTTAAGCTGTTCCTGCAGAGCTATGAATTGTGATAAGGGTTGATCTTGCCCTGTCACTGGTTTTTGTATGATCTGGTGACCTTTCTGATGAGAATAATGGCAGGTGGCCACAGCGACTTCAGATGCTTTTGCGATAACCGTGCTGAGCCAGGTCACCACTTGAGTGGATTATGGGCTTCCAACAGGAGTTCTGGGAAGCCAAGAAAAGGGACTGCAGGAGACTTTCAGCCTCTTCTGTACAAACATTACAAAAATGCAACTTACATATTACACAAAACACCAGGCAGTGTTACCCACAAAGAGAGGCATTGTGACGGGGTTGGGAGTGAAGAATCAGTAGATCCCTGCTGTGGAAATAACCTGTTTGCTTCTTCTCCTCAGGACTCCTACACAATGCCCCTGACTTCCATTCAGTGCTGGCATGTGCACTGTGAAGAATGCTGGCTGCGGACTCTGGTGAGGCTCTTGACTACTTTCTTGTTCACTTACAGCCTTTCCCCTCTCTTCTTTCATACTTTTAGATCACCACAGGGAAAGGTGCTTTTTGCTTTATTTTAGATAATGTGAGTGCTGTGCCTGCAGACTGCCCAAACCTTGCTGTGTAACACCCCACTCTAGCTTTGACTTGAGTGAGTTTTGTTTGAGTCATTGTGACCAAAGTGCTGTCCTGCCCCTTGCTTGTTGCTCCACTACTTTTGGGCACAGCCACTGCTCGTTGAAGAGCTCTGTGCCAGGGACTACCTTGCCTTACAGTAATTTCCTGTGGACCATCCATGCAGAGAGGTAAAGCTGTGAGAATGGAGGCCAAATCCGCTGAGATTTCATGGAGCGGGTAGCTTCTGAGAAATGTAATATTCCCCCGAAGCAAAGGAAATCATCTTCAGGAGAAGAGGATATGGAAGGGAGCTTTTATGAATATGGATCTGTATTTTTTAGATTATTTGAAATAGCACTGTGTGGTTTTCAAGCATATGCCATCCTGTTTAGAAGTTTGGGGACTACCTTGAACATAGAATAGGTGACCCAGTAGAGCAGCAATTTATACATGTATTAAAGGACATCAGGTTAAAATTTGTTATTTAATGAAGTGTTTTCTTTTCCTGTGTTTAAACTGTGGGTTTTATAATCAGCCTTTATTGTCCCCTCTGCAGCTGATCTTCAAACTTTCATTTTGCTTAAGCTGGGGAGTGGAAAATAGTTGTGCTTTCTAGTTCTCCTGTTAGCAAGATGATACGGTGTTGGGTTGCAAAAAATGTAAGGGAGTGCCACTCCTAAAAACTTGTTCCTGTAAGGCATTACTCTACTTTATAGAACACGTTGTGTGCTTGGAATTACGATTAAGCTGATCATGCTCCTTTAAATCCTGCCTTTTAAAAGTCTTGTCCAAGAAAAGTTACCAGGATGGTGAAGTGCCTGTGGGCTTGAGTACTAATAGCAACTCAATAACTTGGCTATCCCTTGGGCTGTATTTTATAGCTCTTCAGCTACACCCCGTCACTATTTAGTTTATACAAGCTTTTGTAAACATTTTAGCAGCATGTTATAAAAGACACATATGTGGGCACATAGCTGTGAGGTGTTGGGATGAATGTGTACTCTGCCACCTTTGCTAAGTGAAGAGTAATCTTGTCCTTCAGCAGTGCTGCAAGCGCAGGATAAAACACTAACATACTTTTCATTTTCTTTACTCTGAAGTCTTTGTCTTCTCCCCTTCCCACCAGCCTCAAGTCACCTTCTAAATCTGTGGCACCAATTTCAGGCTGCTCTTAGACTCAGCAGCAACTTAGTTCAACTTCAGTCAGGCCCCGTTGTGTCATGTTCAGCAGTCACGGCTGCTCATGAGAACGGGGAAACTCACTCCAGGTGCTCAGGGATTAGCATTTTCCTTGCAGAGTGGGAGCCATCTCCCCCTAGAATTCCGTGAGAAAGGTGGGGATGAAGCTGGCTGTGTGTGATCTGCACATGGCTCTTCTGCTGACCAGGCAGGCAGGATGGGAATAGTCCAGCAAGACATCATGTTAAGATTTGGCACTTGCATAGGGGAAGCAATTAATAAGTGACTACTCATGTGTTCCCCAGTCCTAGTCTCTCCCTGCAGCCCCCAATTTATTAAACCAGGCCTTTTCACAAGGCATGCTTGCACTCCCTCTCCCATCTCAAAAAAAATCTCCCAGCCTGTGTTCGCATGTTTCTAATGTAACCATTAAAATGTAGCCTGAAGACAGCAATAAAAACCCTGGAACGCCTTGGTGCTTTTGTGTCTTGATCAAAGTCAATGTGTGTAATCTCGTTAAGACTGCCCTCCTTCCCCCCCTCCTTTTTTATGAATTTAATGGCATACAGCAGCTGGGCTCAGTGTTTAATGCTTACCAACCTGCATTGTTCTAATTAAGGTATCTCCTTTTATTTCGGGCACAAAAGAGACTCTTGTTTTTTTTAACAAGCGAGGAGCTGTGGGATAGTGTGTGTAATAATCGCTGCTGTTACCTTTCCCTGGGTATAAAGCTGGCTCCCCAGTGGGGTTGGGAGGAGGGAGCCTGCGCGTGCAGCACACATGGAAAGACTTGGCTGGGGGAGAGGGGCAGCATTTTTCTTCTGTTGTGCAATAAACAATTTGTTGAAGTTAATAGGAGTTGGGGCGGGCAGGTTGTGTTGGGCTTCCGGCCCCTTTTGAGCATTCTGGAGATCTGCCATCCCTGCTGGTGAAAAGTCCCCTTTCTCCTCCATCCCTGTGGTTCGTGTGCCCGGCCAAGATCTAATATGAAATTAGAGTGTGAGTGTGTCTGAGAGAGCGAGGATCATGTGCTGAACAAGGCCCTGGAACTGAGGGTTCAGAGTGCCTGGGGGCACTTCTAAACCTCTGCAGGGCAGTGAACACAGGGTGAAATTTGATGCTCACATCTGTCTGTGGGCCTAAGGTTTAAACATTTTCTGGGATATGACACTACAATGATCTGAGCATCTCTAGTATCCTCTGACTTTGGTGGCGTGAAACCACAGCCATGAGCTTGCTGCTCCCTACTTGCTGGTTGTCTGGGACGCTCAACACAGTGACATTTTTCATTCACCTACCCTGCGTGGTGAGAACTAGTTGATATCTTAAAGTTATGCAAAAACCAGGACACGGGCCTGGAGTAACTTATCTGTGATCCCTTTTGGAAAGCCCTGAAAACATGTGCAGGTTCTTCAAAGATAGGAAAGGAAATGATGTGGCAGGAGCAAGGCTTAGCCTGGGCAGCAGGAGGTGGGTTCATTTCCCTGAACAGAGACTGTCCTTGTGGCAGGTGTCTGTCCTCAGCTGGTTGTTGGACTGCAGCCCCGAGTCACTGGGGATGAATCTCCCTGTGGTACAATCTGCCCCTTCTCCATCCTTCCCAGTTAACTGAGAGTTAACACTAGTACAGCTACTAGTGTGTGGGATTTGTATTTTCCTTCTCTTGGGAAGGGTGCTCTAACAGTAGAGATGTGCCATCTGCTTTGCTGGGGAGGTTTGGAACCTCCACCCTCTGAGGTTTGTGAGAACAGGTTTGATGTGTGTCTGTCTGCAGTAATTCAAGTTGAGGTGATATTTGCCAGGGGAGTGGGTTGGTGAGTTCTTGACGTCCCTCTGAGCTGTAATTCTGTGATCTCCCAAACCCTGGTATCTTTCTTTACGAAGTAAATGTAGTTAGAAGGTAAGTCAGGCTGTTGCTTGCCAGTGATGGAGCTGTTTGTGGGTGCAGGGGCTGAAAGAGGACAGGTTTATTTGAGCAGATGCAGTTTACTGAGTTTCCCCCATCACCTCTACAGCCAGAGCCAGCATTTCCCGTGGGTATTTGCTGACCCCAGGCTTGCGCTTGCCTGCCTTGGGCTTATGTGAAAATGACAACTGCAAGAGCAGGAAAAAAAACACTTCTAAAAAACCTTCTTCATCATAGAATGCTTCCAGGGGATCCATCAATAGATGTGTGTGCTCTGCAGTTGACACACTTATACCTTTGCTGGTTTACTGTGTTCTTAGCTTTCCCACTTCAATACCCATGTGGGCTGGAGTAGTTTTGTACAGAACAGCCCAGATACAGAGCAATCTTTCTGGGGGATTCCTGGGTGCTTCCAGCAGCACAGGGACCTCCTGAGTCAGCAGCTGCACGGAGGATGCTGCATGATGATCATTCACAATGCTCCTGTGTGCAGTGAGGTTCTTTGGTCATTCATTAACATTTTTTCAGCTCTGGCCTGTGGGGGTGAGCTCCACCCTTTGAGGAGGCTCTGTGAAAAAAGTTGTTCTCCTGGTGGTTTAATCCCGATACCTGACAACTGGAGGGTACCCCACAACAGCAGTGGGGAGCAGCTGCTTCTCTGGGAATTAGCATTTGAAGAGAAGAAGCTGCCACTTCATGTGAAGGCATGGGTGAGAGAGAGGGCTGTCACCTTGGTTGAGAATTGGATCTTGACATTCTGTTCCTCTCCTGGCAGAAGCTGGCTCTTGGTTTGGGTCCCTCTTGCATCTCTCTATTTTGATTTTACTTCCTCTCCTTGCTCTGTGTGTGTGTGTGTCTTTATTCTCTGTGCCTGGTGGCATGTTGTGCTTGGAAATTGCCCATTTTTAGACCCACAGGACAGCAGGAAGTGCCTAAAATCCTTCCTTTTGAGTTTCCCTGCTTTAGCCAATTTATAGCAGACGTCACACCATTTTTTTTTAAGAGGCAACTTTAAGACAAACTCCTCCAATCCTTCCTGGCACCATGTAAGCCCTAACGACTTTTCAACATCTCAACTCTCGTTAATGTATTTTTCAAACTACTACCCCAAGTGATTAGCCTGTATTGTGGATCAATCACTTGCCAAATTTTAATTAAGAAAGGAGGAGAAAAAATAAACTCCATCCTGGTTCCAGCCCCGTTTCTTTGCTTTGTTAACAGCCCTGGAGCAAACTTCTTGCAGCAGAGTTTTATAAACCCCTCAAAACTGGGGTTTATAATGGAAAAGCTGAGGTGGCCTTTACTCTAGCACACACAGCTATAACACATCAAGGCTTTTCCATGTAGCTATGATGAAAGGAGCAGAAGGACCTGGAAAAAAAGAAAGAAAGAACTGGCCGACAGGTGGGACTTATTATTCCACAGCATTTTTATTTCAAGGGAAAAGTTTAGTAACCCCAGCTGGCAGGTGAGCAGTGGGGGAGCAAACGCTTTTTCATTGTGCCTGTGCCAGCATGTGTGTGTGTGTGTACAAGCTTATGTGCCTCTCCACAAGAGAGGAGAGCCTAAACTCTGGTGCTGATAAACGTACACCTACTCCTGAAGTCAGATGTTAGGAGCAAGGTTCTGAGCAATTTCAATCTGAAAAGAAAAAAACCAGGACTTAGTTCTGAATTTAACACACATGCTTTATGTGTGCAGAGGAGGACGGTTTTATTTCATAAAAAGGAAGAAAAATGCATCCCCAAGGGTCCAAAGTAATTATTTTTGCCTGAACTGTTAATACCAAGCATAAGTACTAGAGAGACCCTGAGCCCAGCGTGCCACGTGCAGCCTGTGCAGCGTTCAGGCCAGGCTGCTGAAGGTCTCCAGCATGCTGTTGTTCCCAACGTACCCAGGCTTCAGAGCTCCAGGATGAGCTCCACTTCCCATGTGCAGGTGAAGCAACGTCCACCACTGCCCTAAATCAGTCTGTGATCGTGTAGCTTTTGCAGAAAATAGGTCAAGCTCCATGTGTTTGGGTTCTGCTTTGTGGGGTGGTTGAAGAAACTTGAGATGCCTGCGTGCAGCTCAGCCTTAGGTGGGAGAGTGGATCAAGCCATCAGCATGTGGTGCAGAAAATAGATCTCAGGGTCAGAGATCCCAGGATATTCCAAGATAAATCCACTCATCTTCCCTTTCCCTGTGGTGTAAAGGAACTACAATACCTGACCTTGCTTTGCCGTGGAAGAGAGCAGCAAAGCTGCAGTCGGTTTAATCAGGCTTGTTCTGCCATCCCTGTGGGCTGATGGTGGAGGGCTGCTGCAGACCTGGTCAGAGTGGCTTTCCAGGAACCCAGACTTCCAAATTTTCCTGCAGTGAGCTGTCTAGTCTGTGTTAGGGAGGTTGCCCTTGCTAAGGGTCACACACATCTGCCCTCAACTGTCTCAGTGCAGCTTCACATCCCAGAACGGAGCACGAGGTGCAGGAGAGTGAGGTGGCAGCAGCTGAGGTTGGCTTTTAGCAGAAGCAAACTCAAGGAGGTTCAGTGCTCCTCCCCACCCACCTGCAGGCAAATGTCTCAGACTTCCTTGGAGCTGAAAGAGCAGCTGAAGTGCTGCTGAGCACTGCACAGGGGCACTGAGAAGCAGGGGCCATGGTCTGAGGTGTCAGCAAGCACTGTCCATCCTTCGCCCCAGACTGAAGGCAGGCTGAGGTATTCGATGGGTCTGAACGCTGGTCCTGCAGAAGGTACTTTGTATCCTGGTGCATTGTGCAGAGAGGCAGGAGCTCCAGCTGCTTGGTTGGATGCTTTGCTGCCTTTTGTGTGTAAGCTGTGCCTGTCTTGGGAAAGAGAGCATGGACACAGATGTGGCCAGCAGTTCCATCTGGAATGGTTAACATCCCCATGCACACTTACTTCTGCTTGTCAGGGCACACAGGAAAGCTCAAACAGGCAGCTGCCAACTGCTGTCCCTTGGACAACACGCTGTGAATTAATTCCTCAACGCCTCCCTGCCACTTCCTTTGGGACCCTCCGGCTGCAAAGATGATGCCAAGAGGGCAACCAGGTGCAACGGGTGCCTTGATGAAGGACCAGGGAACTGCATGGAACTGAGCAGGGACTCAGTTGAAACAGGCTATTTTGTGGCATTTGCATCCGGATTAGTGAGCCCCTCCATGGGGGTGCTGCTGTGTATCCTGGCCCACAGTGTCAGAAAGGGCAGATGTTTACGTTTTTCTCTCCTTCGTATTGTTGGCACTGCAGCAAGTTTTTACTAGGACATGCAGGGTTAGAGCTTGCCCTTTCTGTGCAGGCACAGTGGGATGGTCCCTACCCCAGAAGGCTGAAAATCTAAACAGACACAGTAGTTGTCCCAGATAACTAAAAGGATGTTCCCACGGGAATCAGCATCGGAGTTAGGTGCAACATCCAGACCACCAATGGTCTGTCCCACTGCCAGTCTGTCACTCACCCTGAGAGTGATGCCTGAGGTGTTTTGAGTGTCCATCAAGTGTTTCATTCAACTCTAGCTCAACAAGACTTTGTGTGTGGCTGGTTCAAATCTCAGGTGCAAAGGCCCATGGTCCCCTCATGTGTCAGGGCAGCTGTTGAGCCACTATCAGCTGTCAAATGGCAGCCTGATTGTTCAAAAGTCCAAAGCTCAGGGAATAGCAAGTGTGTGAAGTCCATGTCTGCCAGGAATAACATGCACTGGGAGCAGGGAGGGGACTGGTTCCAAACTAGTCTGCGGTACTGCAGAGCAAACATGACTTGCACCTCTTTGGAGGTGCACCCTTGTGAATTACTTGCACTCATATAAATTTTCTGTATCTGGGACGCTCTCCTCTAGATTCTCCTTAGCCTAAAGAACTTGCAGGGGAAAAGGCCCCTGTCCTGCCTTTGCAGGTGTTGTCACAGAGCAGAGAGGGCCTGTTTTAAGGGTGCTTGCCTTTTGTAAGCAGCAATGCCACCTCCTCTGCTAGGGATGTACCCAAGTACAGGCAGCAGTACCGAAGCAGTGCCCTGCCCTGCTGCCGCACTCACTGCTGCAGGCACTGCAAGAAGCCCTCCTCAGGGAGAGCAGCAGCATCACTGAACCAAACGGCCCCAGCTCTGCCAGCCAGCCCCATGCAGGCCCTCACAGTGTTGCACTCCTGTCAGCTCGCTTGTCACACCGAGTGCTGGGCAGGAGCTGCTGAAAGGGCCTGTCTGACAGCAGTGAGCAAAACTTGGGGTGCTTGGACAGAGCCTGTGCTCAGTTCTGTGCATCAGGTCCCGTGGAGGCTGTGATCGGTGCTGAAAGCCAGGGCATCCCGATTTCCTGTGCTGCTAGTGCTGTAAATGGGAGGCTGCCTCACAGCAGAGCCATCTTTCTGTCGTTTTTCCCCATCAGTTGTCTGTCACATCTGCCAATCTAATGATGACTGGCTTAGGTTGACCCCGATTCTGAGGCTTGTTAACACCTCTTGCTGTCAGGCTCTGTAATAGATGGCACATCAGCCCTTGTTTTATTTCATGTAGTGTTCATGTCGGCCACCCATTACCCCACCCCAGCTCACATCACAGTTTGCTGGTTTTAGCTCACCTTGGCAGAAGAGACTCATCTCTGCAGCTTCTGTGCAAGCTGGGGGGACAGGACCAGGGTTTCCTTCATGCCAGCAGCTCGTGGGCTTTTGCAGGATGGCCGAGGCACTGCCCCATCGTGCTGCCCTGAAAGAGATGGTCCAAGCCCACCATGAACCAGCTCAGGCATGAGAACCTGCTGAAAACTTAACTTGTTCCAGCTGGGTTGATTTTCTGCCTGTTCAGGCACCTGAACTGGCTCATTGAGGGCTGCAGGTGAGCGAGAGAAACAGAAAGGAGCAGATCTCCCTGGCAGCCAGTGGTGCCAAGTTTGATGACACACATTGGCTCTGGGTTTCAGCCCCCCAGAGCTCCTGCTTGCCCAGCAGCCTCATGCTGGGGACTGGAACAGGACAAGGGGCTTGTAGGGCAGGCAAGAAAGGTGTTGTTTGGGGCTCCCCCTTCTCACAGCTTGTTGGGAGGGGACAGCCCTCGCTGAAGGGAAGGGGGGTGACACTGCTGCTCCTGTGAGGTTGCAGGCCCAGGGCAGGGCCGTGTAGGTTGTTCTTCGTGCTCTCACACTTTGTGTCTCGTCTGCTGCTTGCAGGGTGCCAAGAAGCTCTGTCCCCAGTGCAACACCATCACGTCTCCCGGAGACCTTCGGCGCATCTACTTATGAAGGACCCGGCGGTGGGGCGGGACCCAGCGACTCGGCTCAGCTCATCACACCCAGGGGGAGAAGAACGACCGCAACAAAAAAAAGACGTTTTAAAATTTAAAGAGAAAAAAAAAAAACAAACCAGAGACTCCAGACATGGACTCGAGGATACAGGAGCAGTGGGGAGCCTCGGCTGCCAGGTCCCGCAAGTTGAGACCTCCTTCAGCATCTGCAGCGGGCAAAACCAAACCCTTTGTTGTGAAGCCCCCTTTTTTAAAACCAGTGTTCCCCATCACCCGTTCCCTGGAGCTGGCTTTGCATTGTGGATGGCTCGTGAGCCGTCCTTTGGACTGTGTTGTTGACCACTCTGCCCCCAGGAGACTGGGGAAGGGACCCTTGACAGAAAGATGTTAAATAACCTGTAACTTGTGTTCTTTGTTCAGTTTTGTTTTGTTTTGTTTTTATTTGTTTTGGTTTGGTTTTTGGTTTGGTTCTGTTTTGGTTTTTTGTGGTGTTCTAGTGATAACAAAAAGGTTTAAAGAAAAAAAAAACACACCCAGGCAGAAATGAAGCACATGTAATATAGATTATATATGTTTACAATGTTGTGTATAAATGGGATAGACTCAAACATTACATACTAATAAGTTTCCCTTTCTTTTCTTTGGGTTGTATTTTTTTTAAAGAAGAAAAAAAATGAGCAGAGAACATTAAACCCATATTTTTCTTGGTTCAGCAAAGTTTTGGCATTAAAGTCATTAGTTTAAAAAAAGTATATATATACATATATATAATATAAATGGTTTAATGTTCTGTGGTGTATATTTCCTCATTCAGATATGAAGTTAACAGCTTTTAGTAATGGCTGTAGCATTGCCCATAACTTACAGAACTTATGGGGAGTAGAGGAGGTGGATTTTTGTCATTAGTTGTAGCTAATGGGGCTATTTATAATAGAATCGTTATCCCCGGAAAGACACAGCTTTTAACTCCTCACCGGGGGGCCGGGCAGGATGGAGGAAATCTGGCTCAACCCCTTTGCCTTTTCCAGCTGGGGAAGGGGCAAACGGTGTGGAGCTGGAAGGAGGGAGTCAGCTGGAGCCCTGCCTTCTCCTCGGGCTGGGAGTGCCTGCTCGAGGGGTCCGGCTGATCCCCTCTGCCTCCTCCAAGGCTGTAGCACCTTCCCCTGCCCGGCTTTGCTTTCCTTTCCTCCAGGCAGCATTTGCTGGCTGAGGATGCCTGGGCTGCTCAGGACGGTGGGGAGGTGGGGATGGCAGGGGACAGGGTGGTCGTGCTGGTGGCTTTGCCCAGAGAGCTCAGCCAGTTCCCTCACGGGTGTGGCTGCAGCGGGCCCAGTGCTGCCCCGCAGAGCTGTGCAAACCCTGCAGAGCCAGCCCTGCCCTGCACCCACATCCCGCAGCTCCCACCCTCCTACAGCCTGCATTTTGCCCAAGAGGTTTTGGCATTAGGGCAGAGAGCTAAGCCAGTCCTGTCTCATCCACACCACCACCCCCAGGGTGTCCAGCAGAGACATTTCCAGCTGAATCCAGAGGTCCCCCACAGCCCCAGCTCCTTCCACACAGTCTCTCATGCTTGTCCCTGTCTCCCATATCCTCAGCCTTAACCAAAGCTGCCATCTGGCCTGGTTTTTTGTTTTTTGTTCTTTTATTGTCAGGACCCAAGAAAGAGATAACAATCCATTTTCCAAGACCTCGTGTGCTGAATTCTCCCAGCTCCACACTGTGCATCCCTGCCCTAGCTCCCTGCAGCCAGAAGACGGGGAGATGGGGAAGCTCATCTCCCCTGCTCCTGCAGGGTCTTTCCAAGCAGATCCCACCTGGCAGCAAAACGCGGCTGGGGCATTTTAAGACAGTTTGGGAACAGCGGTGGATGAGGGGTTTGGAACTGGGCCGCTGGGGTATTTCCAGAGAGGGAAAGGCTGGGGAGGCAGGATGTGGAGGGCAGGATGTGTTCCCTGCCCTGAGCTTGGTGCTGCTTTACAGAGAACAGCTGCTGGCCTTGGCATCTCCTGAGTGATTTCAGAAGGATCCCACTGCATCCAAAAAAAAAAAAACACAACAAACCAAATTGAAGGAGCTGCTATTTCATAAGCATCTCATCGAAAGGTGACAATTCCAAATTGGGAGTTTCCCAGGTCTCCAAGCTCATAGCAGTGTGTGGCCTCTGAGACCAGAGAGCTGCAGCCTCCTCTGCTCAGGGACATGTACCTGCAGAGCTCCCAGGGACCAGAGGAAGCCGAGGGACCCTGGAGGGTCCTGACCCCATGAGGAGACTGCAGGCAGGGCCTGCCCAGGGGGCTGTCACTGCTGGGTGACCCTGCACTCAGCAGCACTCGGGCAGGGGAAGGACAGGCACACACAGCTCGGGCTGGGTTTGTGAAGGGACAAAAACCTGGGGGAGACATGGCTGAGCTGGGAGTGTGCTGGTGCTGAGGTCTCAGATTTGGACATGGTGCAGGGTGGGTTTGAGAGACAGACAGGAAGGCAGGACAGGGCAGGACACCCCAAACCAGCCCTTCCTTGGAAGTAGGCCCTGGGAGGGAGCCAGGATTTCTGGCAGGTGTTGTGGACCAGCCGTGTGCTCTATGTACGTATGTGTAAAACCATATGTAACTAGTCATTGGTTCTTTGTTTTGGGGGTTATTTTTCGTTTATTTTTTTTGTTTAAATTGTAAAGCCATCCCCTGTTTTCAAGGGGGGGAGCTGCTGGGGGAAGGCTGGGGAGAGAGGCACCCCGGTTTGTAACAGGCATCTGCCACTTCCCCTCTTCTGTAATGAGTTTAAATGATTTAAAAAAAAAAAAAAACCTGAAATATCAGAGTTACCTATCTTTGCCCAAAGAATCCCAGTTGCACAAAGCGATATTCCGGTGTGTCGATGATTGTGTGTCAGTGTATATTATACAAAGAGGTACTTGTCACTCCCGTTTGTAAACTACATTTGACATTAATTAAACAAGTATAAATCTTCTCAGGCGCTTTCCGCCTCTCTGTGTTTCCCTTTGCAGGCGAGAGGCAGCGGAGGAGACACCCCCCCACCTCATGCCACAGCCCCTGGATGTGGGTAATGTCCCAAAGGGGAGTCCTGGTCCTGTTGGTGATGCAGGGACAGATGCAGGGGGATGCTGGGACACTCGCCAGACCCCACCACGGATTGGTTGCCCCAACTGGTCCCCCCTGGTAGAGCCAGGAGGGCAGGGCGAAGGGCACCCCTCGGGGGACACCCCCATAATGAAGTCTCCTCGGCTGCATTAGCTGGGGGCAGGAGGCGCCCAGCCCCAACAGATCCATACATCCTGCATTAGGGGCCCCCGGCGCAGTGTAGGGTTACCCCTGGCACAGGGACCGAGCCGGGGGGGCAGAGGTCGGGTTCCCCCCCTGCACGGGGCTGGCGCCGACGCTTTCGGTTTACAAACATTTTGCAGATGGGTCAATGGGGTGTTTCCAACCCCCTCCCCGTGGCTGCGTCCCCCAGGGATGGGGTGCTGGGGGTCCCCAGCACGGTGGGAGGAGGCAGTGGGGATTTCAGGGATCTCTTTCCATCTGCTGGGGCAAGGGTAGGGAAAGGTGGGGGGTGGAATTTAGCTGCTTTTTTGGCTGGCGAGGAGCGGCAGAGCATCTCAGCCCAAAGGAAGCCTGAGGCCAGGGTGAGGGGCTCTCCACCCACCCCGCAGCAGGCTGCTAATATTTTATTTAAAATATCTTTAGGAAGCGGAGGCCCGTGATGTATCGGATATATTGAGAAAATGCTAATGTGTAATAGCGTGTGTCAGGGGCCTCGTTCATCACCCCGCGCCGCCTTCTGGGGGATCCATATCTAATTAACAGTAATGAATGAGGGAGCCCACCTAATGACAGCCCGCCAGTTTGTTATGGAAATGAGGCAATCCCATTAGGCAAAACACTTAATTAAACAAACTGCTCGGAGTGTAGGCCAGTGCAGGATGGGCACAGGCCCTTTGGGGAACAAGGGGGGCCCTAGTACCCAGCCCCCCACATGCCAGGTGAGGGGCACAGAGGCTGCTGCAGCCCCTTAGAGCTGGGTCCCCATGGCCAACTCCAGCAGCAGCGGGCTGGGGAAGCTGAGGGGGAGCCACTGGGGGGTCCCAGCTGGGGAGGGGGCAGCAGGGCAGTTCACATCCCCCTCTCATCTTTCCAGGACGTCAATGGGCACAGAGGCCAAACACAGATTTCCAATCAAACGTGTGTACTTGGCTCCTGCTCTATTGACACTGAAGCAAGAAGGGCTCAAGGTTAATTCCTTATCAATACCCTATTGTCAGCTCATTCATCACTCGGCAGGGGCTGCCCAAGCTCTCCCTGCCCCAGCCCCCAAGGGTTTGGGAGGGTGACCGAAGGAGGCCGTGCACACCTCTGCCCACCCAGCCTGTCCCTGGCTGGTGGTGCTGGGGTGGGCTTGCAGCCATGTGAGGAGGCAGAAATGAGGGGATGGGGAGTCAAGTTCAAAGGGAACTTGATGTCAGGCAGGCAGAGCAAGCACCTGGACGGTGAGCCCCTGCCTCCCTTGCCTGAGTGCAGGAGCTGTGTGTAGAGTGAGCTGGAGAAGGGGGCTTGGCTAAGGGTCTGCTCAGGTAGTGGCTGTGGCCCCCATTTGTGCTCTCCTGTTTCCTAACTGCCCCCCAAGTCCCCAGCCCTGTGTGCTGGGTAGTCCTGCCAGCCTCTTCAGAAGAGCAGGACTAAACTCATCTTCCCCAGGGCTTGGGGACTATGGGGACCCCACGGGAGTGCCACAGTCACAATATGTGGAGTTTCCAGAGCTGGGCCACAGTCTGCTAATCACAGTATTGCAGAGTCACTTAAAAACCAGATAGCCTTCCCCGGGTGATGAAAAGGGAAATGGTGTGACCTGTCCTGCCAGGGAGGGAAGGGCAGTAAAGCTGTTTTTGCTGTTAGACTTT